CATGAGTTTGCACGCAGGAGAAGGCGCGACTTCTGGTGGCAATTTGGAGTTGGCTGCGGGTCGTGGACTGTCCGGTGCTGGAGGCGACGTCGTAATCAACAGCGGAGCTGACGGCGGGGCTGTGCGCGTGAATGCGAGTGCAGTGTTTGCCGCGTCGTCCTCGTCGGTTGCATTGGATGGCGAATCCAGTGTCCGCGTTTCCAGCCATGGAATGGTGTCGTTGCTAGGTCAAAGTGTGGTCAATGTTTCGAGCACGAAGGTACTTGTTGAGGGCTCAGGATATGTGGAAATGCGCTCATCCAACGAAGGTTTAATGGGAAGTGGGAATGTTGAATTGCGCACCGGAGCTTCAAAAACATCAACCGCTGGTTCTGTCCGTATTCAGCCTGGTGCTAGTGGTAACAACAACGGTGGAGCTGTGTTTGTCAAAGCTGGTTCTGGCCCTATCGAAGGTGGAACTATTGTCATCGATGCTGGCGTTGGGAACGATGGTGGTTCAGTATCTGTTCTGAGTGGACACGGAACACAAGGTGTTGGTGGTGCACTTGATCTGAAGAGTGGTGGCGGCGCCACTTCGAGTGGAACTGTACACATTTCATCGGGATCTCAGTCGAAACAGTCTGGTTCAATTAAGATCTCGACAGTATGGCCGCGAATCGAATCAAGTGGGGCGATCGACCTAACTTCTGGAAGTGCAAAAGGCGTCGTTGGGAACATATCCATCTCGGCGGGTGACAGCGAGTCTGGAAGTGGTGGCCATATCGTCGCTCATGCTGGTGGAAGCTCCAGCAATGGTGGCGGAACTGTGTCTGTTTCGTCTGGTGTTGGAGCTACTGGGAGTGGCATTATCAAATTGAGAACACCGGCAGCCCGAGCTCGAAGTGGGTCGATTGTGGCTGAAACGGGCTCGAGCGATGTTTCTTCCGGTGGTGTACTGATTAGTACAGGTGATAGCCGTGAAAACGTTGGCACAATTCACCTGAAAGGCGGTACCACGCTAGACAAGACTGCTCCAAGCAGTCAAATTGTGTTTGAAGCTGGTTTACACCCAACATCTGGAGGGAACGTGTTGGTTCAAAGTGGCAAGAGCAGTGTTCAATCAGGTTCATTGTCACTTGAAACTGCGCAGTCACCTAAGAGTGGGAACATTGAAATTTTCACTGGAGACAGCAATCGTGGAGCTGGCCTTTTGTCCATTTGGGCAGGAAAATCTCAAGCCAACGATGGGGGAGCCGTAGCAGTATCCAGTGGAGACAGTAATCGTGGTCAGGGTGGTGCCATTTCCATTTCCGCAGGGTCTTCAGGTGATGCGTCTGGTGGCCAAACTCAAGTCTTTGGTGGTTCTGGAATTTTGGGCGGAATCCTTCAGCTCGGTGGTGGCAACGGAGTTCATCATGGTGGACGTCTGAATATTTCAAGTGGAAGTGGCTCAACCTCTGGTGCTGTAGATATTCTGTCGGCAACCTCCAAATCTACCGGGGACGTAACGGTGTCCACCGGGCATGCTCAGTCCGGAGTCAGTGGACGCATTCAATTAGCAACTGGCGATAGCCCAACAAAAGGCGGTGATATCAACTTGACAACTGGACTCGGTACCACTGCTGGTGACATTGGAGTTGGCGGCGGCAATGTTCGGATTGCTGCGGTTACTGGAAATCTTGAATTGAAAGGAGGAATTGAGCGTGGCTCCGTCGTCATTTCCAGTGGCAGCAGCCAAGTGGGACAAGGAGGTGTCACCAACATTACCACTGGAACGGGAGATGTCTCCGGTGCACTGTATTTGAACTCGGCAAATGTGCATGATCGATCTGGTGACCTCTCAGTTATATCGGGATCTGGTACTTCCTCGGGTTCAGTGGTCATATCAGTTGGCGAATCAAAGAACCGTCCAGGTGTATTGCAGGTTACTGGTGGCCATTCAACAGATGATATTGGTGGCAGGGTGAGTTTGGCTGGAGGTGAAGCATCGTCGGCGACAACTGGTGGCTCCTTGACGTTATCTGGTGGTTCCGGTGGTATTTCCGGTGGTGACGTCGAAATGAGTTCTGGTGAAGGCACAGTTTCGTCAGGATCTCTATCTCTGTTGTCAAGTCCAAGCGGTATTCAATCTGGACAGTTAGTATTCGGCTCTGGAAGCTCGAAACTGGCGTCTGGAGCTGTTCGTTTGTCGAGTGGATCTGCTGACGACAAAGCTGGAGCCATATCGTTGAGTGGGGGTACCGGCAGCACTGGTGGGTCGATTGTACTTGCGGGTGGTGAAGGCTCAAGCCGAGGCGGGTCATTTGCCGTGAAAACGGGAAACTCTCCCCAATCTGGTGGCGACATCTCGCTCGAGTCATCTGGTCGCATTTCTGTCGCAACTTTAGGCTCCAATTTGACCATGGATACACATGGTCAGATTGAAATGAGTGGAACTACCGTGCGGGCATCCGGTGAGAGCATTTCAGCCGAAGTCAAGCATTCCTTCGAATTATCTCATGTGAACGCCGATGGCACTCCCAACGTGACATTTCGCGCCCTGAGTGACCTGGTTATCAGTCATGTTCCGCTTCAAGTACCCAAGCTGTTGACTCCTTCGGACGAGCGTATCAAGACTGATATCAAAGCCATTGACCACGAGGACATTTTCCACCGGTTGCAAGACCTTCAATTGAAGTCGTTCAAATACGATCGAGAATGGGGGGAAATGATGGGGGTTGATGACGAAACTGTGCGTGGCTTGATCGCCCAGGAGGTTGCTGACATCTTCCCCGAGTATGTGACGGTGAAGTCGGAGTTTCATCTCACCGACCATGGCCTTCGCATGGAGAACTTTACTCAAATCAACCAGCAGGCCATTATCGTCGACTTGTTGGCTGCCTTGCAAGCACAACAGAAGCGAATTTCGATTTTGAAAAACTCTCCGGGTTCCACCGGCGCTGTCCACGTTTCGACAGCTAACACTGGAGATTACGTTGGCAGTCAAGAATCTGGAAGTACAGGTGCCATCAATATTTCCACAGGTGCTTCATTTGGCGGAACGTCAGGTGCGATTGATGTTTCTTCTGGAGACTCGACCAGTGGGTCCGCTGGATCTGTTCGAATTGCTGTTGGCACCAGTGGAAACGCGGATGGCCAAAACCTAGTGTTTTCTGCGGGTAACACTAATGGCTCATCGTTTGTTGGTGGTTCAGTCGTCTTGGCATCGGGTACTGGACGAGATTCATCAAGTGGTGCAATCGACGTTGCGTCGAGTGCGGCTGGGTCGATTGGTGAGAGTGGTATCGTCCAAGTCCGCACTGGTAATTCAAACCTTGGCAGGAGTGGTGTTCTGAAACTCCAAACGGGAGACTCATCTCAGTCCACAAGTGGTGACATTCGAGTGTTGGCTGGAAGTGGGTTGACTGGCGGTACGTTGTCATTGCACGGTGGACAATCCAGCCGATTTAATGGCGGTGCTGTGAATCTGGCGTCCGGATCAAGCGCGAATACAGTGTCTGGTGACATTGACATTCAGTCTGCGGACAGCAAAGTTCGTTCAGGAGCTGTCCGTATCAGTACAGGCAACACAACTGAAGGTCGAAGTGGCCCTTTAACAGTGTCTACCGGTGCCAACGGGAAATTGAATGTGCATTCAGCAAGCGTATTGTCGCTTCGCAGTCGCGCGAATATGGAAATCCACACTGAAGACAGCAGCACTGGAAGTGGCAACGTCCACATCTCCAGCGGAACAGTGAATTCCTTACCAGGCTCCGTCCAAGTGTTGGCTGGTGGTAGTAACACAAATGCTTCTGGTGGTTCAATTCAATTGATCGGCGGATTATCTACTGCTACGGGGACACAGTCTGGCGATGTTATTGTCAGCGCTGGTGGTAGCGTTGAAGCTCCCTCTGGTGCTGGTGGACGTATTCGTATCAGTGGAGGGCAGAGTATTTCAAACAATGGCGGCGATGTGGAAATATTGTCGGGGGTTGGGCGAAACGGCGGCAAGCTGAGTTTGTTGACGAGTGATAGCTCGACCGAATCTGGATCAGTTTTGCTTGCTTCAGGTGATTCTTCCCAAGGCCGGTCGGGAGAAGTCAAAATCAAAGTGGGTTCGTCAGTTGGGCAAGCGTTGGTTGGCAGTGCATTGTCCTTGGCGGCAGGAGATGCATCCACCTTGGGTGGTGACGTTGCAATTCAATCGGGTCAAGGCCAAGCTGCGAGTGGTAAGATTAGTTTACGGACGAGCACTGGTGTTTCCAGTGGCAACTTGGAGCTACAAACCGGAAATGCTTCGTCTCGGGTCAGTGGCAACATCGTATTGAGGCCTGGAAAGTCAGACTTGCTCGGTGGAAATGTCGTCTTGAGTGGAGGGCAAAGTACCAGCCAAGGTGGCGATGTTAAACTGTCATCTGGAGGCGGAGCGAAAAGCGGTGTGGTGTCTATTTCAACCGATGGGGGCGATACGAGTGGTCCAATTACAGTGAGTACCGGAGATGCGTTGGGCGAAGCATCGGGGTCACTTAATTTGGAAACTGGCTCCTCCTCGCGAGGTTCGGCTGGAAGTATTCGAGTTGCTGTTGGATTGAGTGACGACGTTGGTGGATCAATTTCCCTTTCGGCTGGAAGTACACCGGCACAGAATGGAGGCAATGTGGAGCTTCAGAGTGGGTTCGGGTCCGAATCTGGAGGGTACATTCAACTTCATACCCGACAATCCGGCCACGTATTCCTCTCCACTGGCAGTACAAAGCAGCAATCGTCAGGAAACGTTCAAGTATCCACCGGTGTCTCCGACTCTGCAGATGCTGGTGACATCAGCATTGCAGGTGGTCAAAGTACTTCCAAGAGCGGAGGGTCCGTACGAGTCCACTCAGGCTCAAGTGGCCATGGCCATGGTGGTGCAATTGACGTTGTTTCTGGAATGAGTAAAGAGGCGCAAAGTGGCGGGGTCAATGTTTCAACAGCTTACGGTCAGCGTTCGGGGGGTGTCGTGATTTCCAGTGGAAACAGCTCGTCAGCCGCTGGTCATGTCACGCTGTCGACCGGATCATCGGGTACAGATGCTGGTGGAAACTTGAACCTTGTCGTTGGTAACAGTGCCGACGATGGTGGCAATGTCGTTGTTCTTGGCGGTGAAAGCAGTCATCGCACTGGTGGTGACGTCACACTTTCAAGTGGCACGAGCGAGGTGATAACTGGCGATGTGTCCATTGATTCTGCAAACTCGACTTCTGGGTCGACTGGTACCGTTCGCGTTGCATCAGGCAGCAGTCTCATGAATGGTGGTACTGGACGTGTTGTGATTTCGTCCGGGTCAACAGTCGATGGCTCATCCGGAAATGTTACCGTGCGGTCAGGAAGTACTCAAAACGGAGAGAGTGCTGGATTTGTGCGTATCCAAGGTGGCCTGAGTAAGTTTGGAGATGGTGGTGGAGTTTCTATCACTACGGGCTCGTCCCAAACCAAGGGAGGGGCACACTTGGTTCTTGAAAGCGGAAGCAGTTCGTTTGACAACGGCGGCGATATTTCAATTCGTACAAGCGGCTCGGACAAAAAGGGCTCCAGTGGCAAAATTTCTTTAGCCACCAGCAACTCGGAAGGAAGATCTGGATCACTGTCACTGTCAACGGGTAACTCTACCTGGGGTACAGCGGGTCGAATCACTATGAGTGTCGGATCCAGCCGATTGCAAAATGGGAGCAGTATCACCATGCTCAGTGGCTCAGCGTCGACTGATACTGGTGATGGCGGGTCCATTTCATTGCAAAGTGGATTCGGACCACACACTACTGGGGAGATCAAGTTGGCCACCGCGAGTGCAGCACAAGATGGTTTGTCCGGAAATGTGAAGCTTCGAACGGGGCCGACAAGTTTGAAGCCAGCGGGAAATGTATCCATCCAGGGCGGGTCTTCTGCGCAGAATCTGGCTGGTTCAATTTACCTCGAATCAGGCAATAGCACTGGAAAGACGGGACATGGCGGTGACATTGTGCTAGCATCTGGTGGTTCTGTGGGGAATGCTGGTGGTACGTACATAGATTATATTTTGACTTTACTGATAGTGTGCTTAGGTGGAGTCAATGTTACAGCAGGCCATAGCAACTTAGTCACTGGTGGAACTTTTACACTGCAAAGCGGTAGCAGGTAATTGCAACATATCTTCATTTTTAATCAATAATTGACGGCGATTTTTGTAGTTCTGTAACGACGAGTGGATCTATTCAAATGTCCACTGCAGATTCGGGTGGAATGGGAAAGAGCGGTTCCATTGAACTTGCTACCGGTGGATCACCAATTGCAAGTGGTGGATTATCACTACTTGGCGGCAACTCAAACGCTGGCCAAGGCGGGGGTATTCATATTGCTGCCGGTGACAGTGGAGGCGACGCTCTACTCGGTTCTGCAGTCTTGATATCTGCAGGAAATAACCACATGTCCAGTGGTGGTAGCATCTCATTGATTACTGGACGGGGTCAAATTTCATCCAGCGGCAACATAGCACTTCGAACTGCACCATCCAACTTACCCCATTTGCCGTCCTCGCTATCACGTTCTCAATCTGGCAGCATCACCGTTCAAACTGGCACCAGTGTAATGGGAACATCTGGAGCGGTGACCATATCAACCGGCCAAGCAAGTAAAGGTCGAGGTGGATCCATTAGTTTGCTTGTGGGTGCTGGCGATCTTGATGAGGGCGGTCGAATCACGCTGTCGGCTGGATCAAGCTTGTTCACAGGTGGTCGAGTACAGGTGACTGGCGGGAGTGGTGCGTCAGTTGGTGGCTCAGTTCAAATTGCAAGTGGTGTAAGCAGTGCCAAGACTTCCGGGGACGTTTCTATGGTGACATCAAACTCTGGGTTGTCTGGAGTTAGTGGTCAAATTGTGGTGTCCACAGGAGTCTCCATGTCCGGCAACAGTGGTCCAATTACCATGAGTACTGGTGTGTCGACTGGCGGTGCAGGTGGCTCCGTGTTCGTTAATGTTGGTAAAGGCGACACCACTCTAGGTGGAAGCATTTTTGCCACTGCTGGCACAACTACCGATACGCTGAGCTCTGGGGGCTCAATTTACCTTACCTCAGGTGGTGGTACGACACGATCCAGCGGGAACGTTTTGCTTCGGTCTGTCGACGCAGGCACGATGGGAACATCTGGATTTTTGAGCTTCAGCACTGGTACAGCTTCCGCTGGAAACTCTGGAAATCTGATCCTTGGTACTGGCACAAGTGTTGGAGGCCAAGGTGGATCCGTTCTTGTGACCGTTGGAACAGGCAATACAGGCATTGGCGGGAGTATTTCCTTGAGTTCTGGCTCGACGTATGGAACTGGTACAGTCGGTGGCCCGATTCAGTTAATTGGTGGAAGTGGAGTGGCGTCTGGTGGGTCAATCAGCATTCAGAGTGGCCAAGGTCAAACAACAAGTAGTGGAAATATCTTGCTGCGTTCAAGTGATTCCGGACTATCTGGGGTGAGTGGAACCGTTGGAATATCAACGGGGTCAAGCTCCAACGGCAACTCCGGAACGATTGCAATTGCTACTGGATTTTCTATCAACGGAAAAGGCGGTTCAATTTCGTTGCTTGTGGGTGCTGGTGATACCAATGCTGGTGGCGATTTTACGGCCATCGCAGGAGATAGCTCTACTGCTACAGGTGGCACAGTACTTGTACGAACTGGCCGTGGAACAACAACATCCAGTGGTCCAATGTTGCTTTCGAGTGCAGATTCTGGACTTGCTGGTACATCAGGACTTCTCAGCTTCAGCAGTGGCACATCAGCTTCTGGATCGTCTGGTGCTATTATCTTTGGGTCAGGCAACAGCAACCTTGGAAATGGTGGAGATTTCCTTGTGACCGTTGGTCGTGGTAACACTGGAAACGGTGGGAAAATCTCGATGACGGCTGGTGAAACTTATGGATCTGGTCAACGAGGTGGCAACATCGAATTGTATGGTGGCATTGGTGTTCAAACTGGTGGCAACCTCAAGATGATAACTGGTTCAGGAGGACTGACCTCAAGTGGTGACATTGCCCTTCAAACAAACAATGGCGGAGCCAATGGAGTCAGTGGGTCGTTGAAACTATTTTCTGGTGATTCTCCTGCGGGAGATAGCGGATCATTGAACATCTTCAGCGGAACTTCCACCAACGGAAAAGGCGGCTACATCACTTTGTCAGTTGGAGACGGTAATATTGGCGTCGGTGGAAACGTTGCGATTACTGCAGGTCTCACGAATGCTGCATCGTCTGGTGGAACTGTATCCATTCAATCTGGAACAAGCACTCTAACATCCAGTGGAGATATTCTTGTATCAACTCCCAACGCTGGCGGCAGCGGTGTGTCTGGCTTGCTGAGTTTCAGCTCGGGCTATGCGACAGTAGGCAGCTCGGGCAACGTGATTCTTGGGTCTGGAACCGCTGCAGGTGGCAAGGGTGGCTCCATCTTGATGACCGTTGGGTCTGGCAACACAGGCACTGGTGGCATCGTGTCCATTTCGGCGGGTACCA